GACCGCCTCCTGCCAGTTACCTCCCAAAGACCTATTAGATCCCACAGATTAGGCCTCCTCCGAATTCCATCTGCCGGCTGGCGACTCCTCGGGGGAGGGCCTTCTCTGTGGCTGCTCCGGCTCTCTGGAACAATCCCCCCGTGGAGATCCGGACCCTTACCACCCTTCCGGCCTTCCGCAAAGCGGTTAAGACTTGGCTGTTCCGGCAGGACTGGGGCTGTTGAACTATCCAGCCCCATCCGAGGTTATGCCTGTTGTAGAATTTTAAATTGTTGTTTTTATTTTATTTTTTGTATCCCCTCCCTTTTTATTGTGAGCCGCCCTGAGTCTCTTGGGAATAGGGCGGCATACAAACTCAATAAATTAATTGATTGAATTGAATTGCTTTTAAAAGTCACCGAGCACTTCAGGCTGTTTTAGGAGCCGAGAACTACATAGCAGAGTGGGTGCAGCGGCGTAGGACCAAGGGTAGATGAAGTTAGAAAACAGAGGCAAAGTCATTAAGGCCAGTGGCAGGATCGGAGAGCAGCCAATGATGCCAACTTTGTTTCTGCATCTTTCCTACCTCTCAAGGGGAACCTGGTCCACGGGGCTGCCCAAGCGAAATGAAGCCAAGACTGGTGCAGATACCACAGCTGCCGGCCCACTGTTCCAGCAGCGCCCTTATCCAAGCCCTGGGGCAGTCTTGCGTGCGAACGCAGAAGCTTCTCGAGCCAAGCAACAGGACTGAGATGCCCACTCCTCCTTTCATCTTTGAATGTGTGCATTAAGTTCTGCAAGGCCCGCTTCAGGACTCCCTCTGGACTACAGACTGGGCCAGCGGTAGTCTTTCCAAATCTTTACTACAACTCTGGCATGTCAGCGGTAAGAGAGGGTGATTTTTTTTATCATTCAGTGGCTTCCGAAAAGCTGCAAAGTTCCCAACATCTTCAGGGCTTTCAGGAGGCGGTGCACCCTGCAGAAGAAGTTTCACATGTTTGACTTGCTAACTTCTGCAGAGGACAGTCTCCATCTCCTTCTCCCATTCCGCTACGAATTTCTTAAAAAAAAAGAAGTGGAGAGAAAACCCGCTTCATTTTTTCCCATATAACAATTTTGATCAGCTTATAATATTTGCATAGCATAAAGAAAAACATTTGCAGACAGGTTTGTAGAGTCTGGCCAGTAAGCACCAGCCAAGGCAAGGAGATGGAAGCCAGCACACCTTCCTGCTCTCCTCCTCCTCTCTCCCCCCCCACCATCGGAGTAGCTATAAGACACACAGCTCTTGGATACTGCTTAAATGACCAGATGACACCTGAGCTGGCTTGCTTTAGAAATCTGTATTATGTTTTTACAAGAATAAATAAAATATACAAAGCTGCCTGTGAGTATATTTAAAATATAACACATTAGTTCCATATAACATATCTCAACACTGCCTTTATAATGCAATTAATACTTGATACGATGCTACAGTTCTGCACAAATATATGGCTGGGGATAGGGAGTAAAAAGAAATACTGTCTCTCCCTTTTGTACGGGGGGAGGGAAAGGCTCAGTGCACAAAGAGAAACGGAAATGGACAGCGAGGAAAAGTCAGTATGTTGTCGTCTTTTTGGTCTCCAAGGTCTGGATTTGCCCAGGCCAGACTTTTGCCAGCTCAGCTCTGGAAAGCGATGCAAAGTGAAGCCATGGAATTTAGACTGGGTTAGTCTCTGCTACAGATTCTCAGGTGGAACAGGAGCAAAGTCAAAAGACTTAAGACAAGTTACAACTCTTCTGATAATGTCGATCAGAACGGAATGGTGGTTTGGAATCAATCTCAGTTCACAAGAATCAGGGTTCACACATGATATTTTTTTTTCTGGATTCACTCATACTGCCCACGTAGGACCATTCTGTAATTAGCATTAATATCACAAGTTTTTGAACTTAGAAAATTGGCTGCTCCCACCCCACCCCACCCCAGCTGCATTGTAAACAAAACAGACTTAGGGAAGGAGAAAGAAGAAGAAAAGTCCAGGCCTGAAGTTGGTCCTTAGCGTTGCAATTTGTAACAGACTTCTGGAAGAATTTAGCAAACACTAGGAACAAACCTTAGAATTCAAATTGTACACCAGGCTACTGAGACAATTAAGGGTATTGCTTCATTTTTTTTTAAAAAAAAATGGCTCTAATAGCTCCATTATATCTTCCTCTGGGAAGATATAACTGATCATCTAAATCAGGGGTGTCAAATTTGTGTTATAACGTGAGGTATCACAACTTCCCCTTTGCTAAACTGGGCATGGGCGTGGCCAGCGCATGACATATCCAGCCTGCAGGCCACGAGTTTGACAGCCCTGATCTAAACGAACCATGAATTGCTACTGGGGCCCCTATGGTTCAGCTCTGTCCATGAGGCAGATCTTAATGGGTGACCAGGTTTTAGCTTGGTAAAGTGCATCGGGCAACCAAAAGGCACATCTGAGAAAATTAGTCCCGTCTTCCCTGTGCACTCAGTGCCATGAATTGTTCTGCATCTTGTAAGCGCAGGCAGAAGATTTCGTTAAATCTAGAAAAGCATCACAGCTGAAATGCTGCCGAAGTCTTCGGTGGTGCTTTCTCTGCTGCTTTAAGAACCTTTTTCTTTAGCTGAGACCCTGGGGAAAAAAAGCAGAAGGATGGTTGAGCTCAGTCGGGGACGGGACCTGGAGGTCTGTCAACTCTTAGGACATTCCATCTGCTAGGAATAACAAAAAAACACATTTCAAGTTTGGATATATTAGAAAATGAATTTTGCCTAGAAAGCAAGAGGCCATTACATCAGAGGCATATAACTTCCATGATTTCTTGTTTTTTATATTTGCCTATTAGGGTTTTCCCAAATTCTTTTATACTTAACGAGGACTTCAAAGACATTCAACTGGGGCGCCAGGGATAGGGGCAGGGGTGTTAGAGGCAAAATGGCAGGCCATTGGTTTTTTTCTAACTTGAGTTCAGTTCAACTTCTTAGATGGTTGTGATAGCTTTGCTAAGCATGGCACCCTTACTTAGACCAACATGGTAAACTGCCAGAATGGGTAATCTGTGGCTTTCCAAACAGCCCTGAACAACAACTCCCAGCATCCTTTATTACTAACCAATCTGGCTGGAAATTTTGGAGTGGCGGTTTGGTAACATCTAAAATACAATGTGGGACCAATTCTATTCCTGACAGAACTGCATTTGGATCAGGGAAAGCAACTTCAAAGCTCTGTTTATTGGAGAGTTGTCCCCTTCCAGCTAGAGCCACCTAAAGTGACTGGAGTGAAGTGAGCAAAGAATACATCTGAATGCTTTCTATGGGAAGATCCAAAATTTACTAATTATTCCTTTTGTCCACTTAATAGATCATCATATAGATTAGGGGAAACAGCGCCCATTTGGCAAAGAGGAATCCTATACAAAGATTCCATGTCGTATCAACAATGGCTTTTTTTAAAAAGCACATTACAAAAACTTGCTGTGTGTCTCAATTACATCCTCAGGCAATTATCTCAACCAATAGTTTACTCAGTTAACCCAGATTCCGGGATTTGCAGGATGCAATCAATTATAGATGATATCAGAACTGACACCATAAGCTAGGCTAAAACATTTAGTAGGTTGTGGTACATTGTGTACTTAATTTCACAAGGTTGCTACGACAATGTTGTCAGAGTAACTAAGCCACTGACCTATTAAATACTTCCTCCTTTTGCTCCTTGAGCCAGATCTGTAGATACGTACAGCCAGACTAAATCATGCCAACAAGCAATGTAGTTTGAGCCCCCCCCCCCCAAAAAAAACCCACCCCAAGATAGGGGAATATTATTTTGAATTCGTTTCATGCAACAAACTACAATTAGAAATTAAACTTATTTGAAGGAAAAGCCCTGCTTTAGCTGCCGTTTTAGGAAAGAGTAAAAAGCAAGCATTGAAAAATATACATTTAACTCATTCCAGGCAGTGTAGAATGGCTTCAGAGTAAGTATGCCATGAAAAGAAGGACAGGCCCTTTCAAGGACATCTGGTCTATGACACTATACTATACTTCAGCTGCAGAAACAACACTGTATGCCCAAAGAAACTTTATCTGTATTATCCTGTTTCTGCAAATCACAAAACTCTGGGTGTTCCTGATCACCTTTTTTTTAAAAAAAGCAATAATTACCATATCTCTTATATCTAGCAAAGAAAAAAAAAGTGCCAAAAGAGGAGTTATCTCCATAGCAGTTGTCTGTTGTATGGAGCAAGCAAATATCTCAACGTACATTTGAAATGGACCCCCAAAGTAAGTCTAGACATTGTACTAAGACATAATTGCGGCTTGCTTAGTTGGTTAGCATGTTGTGTGAATCAAATCAGTTTCGGTTAATTGATATTTATTAGTTCATTATGAGTCCAACCGTGGCTTAGCATATTGTGCTAAAACTACATAGGTTTCAATAAGCGCATAGTTAAGCATGATATGTGAGCCATGACAATTATTTCTGCCTGTATGTTCTGTGGGAAGTATTTTGGTATTTTTTTTGGGGGGGGGTATTTTATTAAAAAATAAAAGTAGCCACAGAACACACAATATTTACAACAGAGCCACGGTGGCAGTGTGCAGTACTGCAGGCTACTTCTGCTGACTGCCGGCTGACTGCAATTTGACAGTTCAAATCTCGCCAGGCTCAAGATTGACTCAGCCTTCCATCCTTCCGAAGTGGGTAAAATGAGGACCCAAATTGTTGGGGGCAATAGGCTAACTCTGCAAAGCACTTAGAGAGGGCTGTAAAAGCACTGTGAAGCAGTATATAAGTCTAAGAGTTATTGCTATTAATGGTATTTTGTAGGAGATAACAGCAAACTACTGGTGGTTCTAATCTAATTATAAATTAGTGCTCAAATATGAACCTCCAAAGCAGCAAACATTTGTCAATATGGTTACAAATCCAGAATGAAGAAGTGGTAAAATCCCCAGGTAGTGAAAATTAATAGTGAAAATGAATCCCAAGGTAGTGAAAATTAATAGTTCCAAGAAAGGCCTAAGGCTTCCCAAGAAATATGCAGCAGTTTATTCATTTGGAGCTACCCGGAAAACAGGCTATACTTAAGTTCATCTCACTGGATCCTGTAGAGCAGAATCAATGCTGAAGACAATCAGGCTGCGGTACAGAAATTCCTCTGGTCTGATTTGGCTCAGCGATTCCCAGCTCACGTCAAATATTTTACCTTACCCTGGGTGGAGTCTGAAACTTTTTTTTTTTTAAAAAAAATCAATGTTCTGAAAGCAGTGGTTTAGATCTTCCAAAAGTTATCAGTTAAGCAAAATGTGCAGTTTTGCTTACTTTTAAACTGTATTCATCTTTATGAATAAGTTACCAGTCTTTTTGTGACGTAAGGAAACATTGGAGACCACAGAAAGTCTGTTTGATGAATTTTTGAAAATGCCATTTAATCCTGTTCATGGGCCACTAAATTTTCACAGCCGTATCTTTAAAAGCTTCAAGGACAGCTTTTTCTAGATCCACCTGGAGATCTCAAGATTTGACCCAGCCCCATGCTACTTACCTACTGCTCTTCCCCACGGAAACCAAGGTTTCTGTCTCTGGCTTTTTACTTTCTGCTTTAGTGACCGGGAGGGAAGGATCAATTCAAGGAAGCAAATCTGTCATCTGCAGTCTGAGCTGGTTTCTCAGATCTGGCAGAATGCCAAGCCTCAAGGGAAATGCACCTCACCAATATGACCCAATTTCATGTACTCCAGATCTGCTTCCTTAGAATAAATCAAGGTTCAAGGTTCGAGGTTCATTTTATTTATATGCCGCCCTATTCCCAGCGGGACTCAGGGCGGTGCACAAACCCAAAGGAGGGGAAGGGAAACACAAAGACTACAACAAAAAATACAGGGCATTTAAAAACAACCAACACCCACACAATTCGAGAGGGGAAGGGAACTCATTGACCCCAGGCCTGCCGACACAGCCAGGTTTTAACCGCTTTTCGGAAGGCCTGGAGAGAGGTGAGGGTCCGAATCTCTGTGGGGAGCTCGTTCCAAAGGGCCGGGGCCGCCACAGAGAAGGCCCTCCCCCGGGGAGTGGCCGGAGGACATTGGCTAGGAGACGGAACCCG